TTTTTAAAGTTCGGAATTAGTTCACGTCGTACAAAAAGATCAGTCCAACCAAATTTAACAAAAACCGAACGAAAAAACCGACCGACCGGAAATGAACAGGCCTTATATATAGGACGATCTGCGACAGTTTGAGATCGGTACCGAATCAAATTAACACAGAAATATTATCCAATAATAATTAAACAACACACAAAGTGTGACAAAACTTAATATTATAAAAAAAAACTATCTTCAATGGACGAAAAAAATTTTATCTTTGGTTTCTTTTTTTTTTATTTTTATTTTAACAATGATATATAAATTTCTTGTAGCTATTACTTTAATAGCGCTATTTGTGCTATCGGTAAGTGAAGCTGCAGTAATGGCCATCGACTACGGAACGGATTGGTTTAAAGTCGCTCTCGTAAAGCCGGGAATACCTCTTGATATAGTGTTAAATAGAGACTCAAAGCGTAAAACCCAATCAGCATTGACAATACGTGGTGAAGAAAGAATTTATGGTTCTGATGCTGTTAATCTAGTGAGTGAAAATTAAAAATATGGATTATTTTTAAAAAAATATCATATAATTCTTAAATCGTGATCATTTATTGTAAGATACAATCTATATTGCGACTTTATAGTGATCCATAGATAACGCTTGAATTGATATGAATTTAGGGCGCACGGTTTCCACTCAACACATATTTTAGTGTCAAAAAGGTTCTCGGACGATTGGTTGATGATAAAATCATAAAAGATTATCAGTCAGTCTTTCCGAATAAAATAGTACCAGATCCAATTCGTGGAACAGTTGTTTTTCAACATAATGAGACTACTAATTTCTCGGTGGAAGAACTTCTTGCAATGCAATTTGCTCATGCCAAAGAACAGGCCGAGGCGACTGCTCAAGAAGCCATTAAAGATGTTGTAATTACGGTATTTATTGAATTTCAAATGTATCACATGCTCATCCACAGAACTTCTCTTGTAAATGATAATAAAATCTCTTAAATCACGATTTTTAATTCGTATTAGGTACCTCCATATTATAATCAATTCGAGAGGCAAGCAGTTTTAGATGCTGCTGATCTTGCTGGTCTTCATGTTCTTACGTTGATAAATGATGTAACAGCTGGTGCGTTTTATAGTATTCAACTTTTTTTTTTAAAAAAAATAAGCATTCCTTTGCATTTTATTGATATTTATTATACCGAATTTAAAATTTAGTTGGATTGAACTACGCGATTTCCCGTTTTACTTCATTTACGGAAGAACCGCAATATCACGTGTTTTATGATATGGGCGCTGGTAGTACTAAAGCAAGCTTGATAAGTTTCAAAACATCAAATGTCAAAGATGTGGGCCGCTTTAACAAAACAATTATCAACCTTGAAGTGTTATCAGTTGGCTATGATCGAACTCTTGGCGGACAAGAATTTGATATTCGCCTTCAAAGATATTTTGCCGAAGAGTTTGACAAGAAATTTAGTGGAAAATTAAAATCATCTATATTCACATCGGAACGTTCCATGACAAAACTTTATAAAGAAGCCAATAGAGTGAAACAAATTCTCAGCGCTAACACAGATGCTATTGCTTCGGTTAGTATTAAACCGAAATATTTTACTTTAATTTGTATCATAGTCTCACATATAATATAATTCATTATTGCGCATTAATTTTGCAGATAGAAAATTTACACGAAGATCTTGATTTTCGACTACCTATTACAAGAAGTAAATTTGAAGAAATAACTGATGATCTTAGAAAACGCGTCATTGGCCCTATTAATACTGCGTTGAGTAACGGCAAATTAACTTTAGTAAGTATCATAATTATCCTTATTAAATCACTTTTATCGGTAAATATTTATGGTTTCTTTAATTTTTGTTTTAATTTTAATAGGCTGATATTCAATCTTGCGTATTAGTTGGTGGTGGAGTTCGTGTTCCATCAATTCAAGCTGAGCTTAAAGATAAAGTTGGAGAGTAAGTACTATAAAATTAAATTTTATTTATTCTATTGTTAAATTTTTAATTATTTATGTTTTTGAACATATTAGAGAAAAAATTGCTCAAAATGTAAATGGCGATGAGGCTGCAGTGTTTGGTATGTATATTTTTTTTCGGACGCTAATAAAGTTTTTTTTTGTAATTAATTATATTCTAACACCTTTTTGACGATAGGTGCTGCCTTCAGAGGAGCAGGTCTAAGCCGCCAATTTAAAGTGAAAGAAATCAAAGTTAAAGATATAACTCCTTATTCTATTGAGGTTGATTATTCTTCTGAGCCAAAAAATTCTGAAGATGGTAGGCTTTATATTTGACCTTTTTATACGTATAAAAATATATTAAAAGCATCGACTTTTCTAACGAATTATGTCTTTCTAGGCACTTCAAAATCTAAAGTATACCATACGGTGTTATTTAATGAGTTTACTACTATTGGAACGCGTAAAATGATGAGTTTCCCACGTACAAGTGATTTTAATTTTTCATTAAATTATGCCAAACTAGATGACGAAATCGCTAGAGATTTTGGGCCTACAAATATTGCAATTTCTAAAATTACTGGTTTGACTGACGCTATCAAGCAATTTAATGATGTTGGTGTAGACCGCCCTAAAGTCAAAGTTACTTTGCAACTATCTGATTCCGGTTTAGTTTCTGCAACAGATGCTATCGTGACTATTGAACATCAGTCTTTGGCAGGTACAAATAATTAAATTTTTTAAAATTGATTTTTATCTTGAATAATCTTATTAAATAAAATGCTTTTTCACGATTGAATATTTAGATAAATTCAAATCATTTTTTCAATCAGAAGAGTCAATTAAAGATGTTCCATTACCAGACGTGAGTTTTTTTTTTTTAAAAAAAAAAAATCGTTATAACTAACTTTAAATTTGAATAAACTAAAATTTATTGTATATAGGAAACGCCAAATTCAGTGAATGCGTCAGAATCTACACCAGAAGTAAATGCGACACAAGTCAATGATACCGAACCTGAACCTATACCAAAACCAAAACTAACTAAAACAGAGACAAAAAATTTGAGCATTGAGATAGAATATGTTGGTATCAAGCCTTTGGGTGAAAATGAGAAAGTGATATCAATTAAGCGGTAAATTAATTTCTCATTCAAGTTATTCTTTTTATTTTTGGTATAGATAATTTAATTCATTTTATTCATTAGACTACGTGCAATGGACGCTTCTGATCTTCAACGACGAGTGCGCGAGGAAGCAAGAAATAACTTGGAAGCTTTCGTTTATCGCGTACGAGATTTGATTGAAAATAATGAAGTAATGCTAGTTAGTACGGACAATCAACGCGCTGAATTATCATCAAAGTTGTCTGAAACATCTGATTGGTTATATGAAGAAGGCGAAAAAGCTGAAACCGATGAGTTCAGATTGCGTCTCACGAATCTCAAGTTAGTAGGATTTCATTACACCATATTTAATTAAAAATCCATAATTTTATTTATTTTCTTTTTAAAAAATTTTAGGTTACTTGAACAACCTATTGCATTTCGACGAGAAGAGCGCGACAAACTTCCAGGGGCAATCTTTACAATCAAAACTGCTATCAACAGCACTCGTGCTTTTGTTGAGGAAATCAAAACGAACACTACAGCCGAAAATCGTTATTACACAGACGAAGAACTTAACAAATTATTAAATATAGTTGGGAAAGTTGAAGAGTGGCTTAATGAAAAATTAGTTATACAAGAAAAAACTCCACCTCACGTTGATCCAGTTTTGACTAGTACAGATATTGAAAAAAAATTAAATGAAATGGAACGCGAATTTTTACTCTTGGTTTCCAAAAAACCTAAGAAAGTTAAAGCTAGTACAACAACTAGTACAACAACAACAGCGACGGCAACGTCGGATGAACAAATTACTTTAAGTACCGAATCTACTAGTGAACCAACCACTACCATATCAACAACCTCATTAGAAACTAAAACTAAAGAAACTGAGCAACCAAAATCCAAACACGAAGAATTGTAATAAAATTTATGCATTAATTAGTATTTTTAAGTATTTTTTATTTTTTTTTTATTTTGAGCATTATTTATTAGTAGAATTTTATAGAAAATTTTGAACCAATATATCTTGTTCTTGCTTAACAATAATTAAACTATACATTTTATTAGACTTTGTCTAAGTTTATATAATATCGTATCGCAAATTTTATCATTTTTTCGCAAATTTCACGTGATCTTAAATTGTTTGTCCAGGGAATCTTAACCTGCACCGGGCATCCTTAACCTACACCGGAGGTGTAGATGTTTAACCTGCGCTGGGATGAAAATTGATTGTGTAATATTATATAATTTATACTATCTTTGTAAATAAAATTAATATTGTACAACAAACAATAAACTCTCGCTTGCATTTTCATATGAAATCCGAAGAGATGTGTGTTCCCGAACTAACAGCTTCAAATACATTTATAAATCATATAGCACAAGTTCAAAATTTTGCAAATTTTTATAATTTTCAAATACGAAAAGATAAAGTAGAACGTGATAAAAATAATAATATTAAAAAAAGAACTATATTATGTTCACGCGCAGGTGTTGCTGAACAAAAAAAAGAAAAAATTCATCAAAGAGATCGTCATTCTCAAAGATGTAATTGTCCTTTTATGATTAGAGCATCATTTAATTTACAAACCGGTCTTTGGCATATTTTGGCTATAAATTTGGAACATAATCATGAAATGATGATTCCTGGGCATAAAAAATTTTTAAATAATCAAAGAATAATTCCACAAGAAATTAAAGATCGAATTAAAATTTATCATCAAGCAGGTTATAATGTATTAACTATCAAATCTATTCTTAAACAAGAATATCAAGAATTAGAAATATGGATTTATAATGATATTTATAACTATATATATCAATTAGATAATAAATTACATAGTTGTTTTTTTGAAGCAGATGAATTTATTAATACTTTAAAGCAATTCAAAAGAGAAATTAATGGATTTGAATATAAAATCAAAGTTGATGAAAGTTCAAATGAATTACTTCAAGTAATTTAGATGTATTCAGAACAGAAATGACAATATTGTAGATTTTTAGATGTAATTATTTTTGATAATATATACAAAATTAATCAATTTAATATGCCATTTAGAATTTTTACAGGAGTAAACAATTTTGGTCAAAGTATATGTTTTGCTAGAACTTTAATATATCAAGAAACAATTAATAGTTTTATATAGACATTTAAATTATTTCTTAAAATAGTTAATAATAATCCACTAAAAGTAATACTTACAGATGAAGATAAAGCAATTTCTCAAGCTATATAAAATGTTTTTAGTTAAAATAGTAAACATGTATTATGTATATGACATTTTTGAAAAAATTTAATCAAAAATTTATGTAGTATATAGAAGCAAATTGGCATAATTTTACAAAAGCATCTTATGAATGTACAGAATATGAAGTTGATAATTTTATAATCAAATGGTAACAATTTCAAATAGACTTTTCAAATTGTAAAGCACATTTAGAAAGAATGGATAAAGTAAAAGAAAAATGGGCACCTTGTTTTAATAGAAATATATTTTTAACAGATATGATAAGTATATAATGCAGAAAATCAATGAATAGTCTTATGAAAAATTATATGAATACAACTAATTCACTTTTGGATTTTTTAAAAGCTTTTGAATTTGCATTAGAACAACATAATATTGATTTACAATTATTTAAATATTGGCAAAATCAATTTAATGTTATTTTAAAAACAATGAGTCCATTTGAATAT